GTTTTTCGTCCAAGCTCACGCTATGCCTTGGATGACTACGTTCATGCGGTGTCCACCTCTAAGCCGTCGCCGTTGCCGTCCTTCTTTCGAGCCGCTCCTCGTGACCCGCTCTAGATGCCTGCGATGCAAGAGGAGTTTGACGCCCTGTTGCGCAACCGGACGTGGCAGCTTGTTCCTCGTCCCCGGCACGCCAACATGATTATCGGGAAGTGGATCTTTAAACACAAGCTCCGTCCTGATGGTACCCTGGATCGCCACAAAGCGTGTTGGGTCGTTCGTGGCTTCTGCCAGCGTGTTGGCATCGACTTCACTGACACCTTCGCTCCGGTCGTCAAGCCCGACATGATACGCACGGTTCTCCACCTTGCGGTCTCCCGTGCTTGGCCGGTGCACTAGATGAACGTCTCCAACGCCTTCCTCCATGGTCACCTCGAGGAGCAGGTCTTCTGCCAGCAGCCCACCGAGTTTGTTGACCCGACGCTTCCCAACCACGTGTGCCTACTTTTGCGGTCCTTGTACGGACTCAAGCAGGCTCCGCGCGCTTGGTACCAGCGCATCGCGGCGTTTCTCCACCAGCTTGGGTTCCGCTCTACCCGCTCGGATGGCTCGCTCTTCGTCTATCATCAGGGATCTGACACAGCCTACTTGCTGCTCTATGTCGACGACATCATCCTGACGGCATGTACGACTGGTCTTCTCAGTCAGCTCACGGCTCGTCTTCGTGCTGAGTTCGTCATCAAGGACTTGGGTTCTTTGCACTACTTCCTCGGTGTCGAGGTGGTGCGCCGTCCGGATGGCTTCTTCCTTCATCAGCGGAAGTATGCTCACGAGCTCCTGGAGTGCGCCGGCATGCTTAACTATAAGCCCGCCGCTACGCTTGTTGATACGAAGGCCAAGCTTTCTGCCACAGATGGTTCTCCTGCTCCGGATGCTGCTTTCTATCAGTCTATCATTGGTGCTCTCTAGTACCTCACTCTGACTTGACCGGAGATCCAGTATGCCGTGTGTCTTCATATGCATGCTCCTCGAGACGTTCACTGGGCTGCCGTCAAGCGAATTCTTCGCTAGCTCTGTGGCACTATGGATCTTGGCGTCACGCTTCACGCCTCCACCCTCACCGCCTACTCCGATGCAGACTGGGTGGGCTGCCCTGACACTCATCGCTTCACTTCGGACTATTGTGTCTACCTTGAACCCTCACTTATCTCGTGGTCGTCCAAGTGGCAGCCTACAGTCTCTCATTCTAGTGCTGAGGCTGAGTATCGTGCGGTGGCCAATGTCATCACCGAGTGTTCGTGGCTTCGCCAGCTGCTTCAGGAGCTCTCTTGCCCTGTTGGCCGTGCCACGATAGTCTACTGCGACAACGTCTTGGTGGTCTACCTCTCCGCTAACCCGGTGCATCATCAACGGACCAAGCATATTGAGTTGGATATTCATTTTGTTCGGGAATAGGTGGACCTTAGCCATATTCGTGTTTTACACGTCCCTACTTCCCAACAATTTGCCAATATCATGACCAAGGGCTTGCCTACGGCATCATTTGAGGAGTTTCGGTCCAGTCTTTGCATCAGCAGCGGTGCCGCTTCGACTGAGGGGGGGATGGGTGGGTGGGTGAATGTTGAGTATATGTGTTATGTGCATATTGTGTATTGAGCCCACCTCCTAGTTTCTTGTATAGTTGAGGTCCGAGGACTACTTTATACATTATATATACGTGACTATGCACGAAGAGCAATGTGTCGTGCAATTACAACATCATACAACAAGTAGCACCCTCGCAAAAAAAAGATGTCACACTTTGGGCAGGCATGCCCTAGTAGCACGAATCTTCAAGCGGCCGAGCAGACACGTGTGCCTGCGCGAATCTCCAGGCAGTAGAGAAGGGTTAAAGGCCGGGGCGGAAGGGTTCGGTCGGCTTCCTCTCCTCTCCTCCTCTTCCGCGGCGGCCGAGACCCACCCGCCGCCATGGCCAAGTACAACGTGGTGCAGAAGAGCAAGCGCGAGTCCAGCCATGACCGCAAGCGCCGCGCCCATGGGGATCCCAACTCCGGCAAGCTCAAGCACCACAACGCGCCCATCGCCATATCTGGCAAGCGCAAGCGCAAGCTCCTGCGCCGCCTCAACCGGGTAGGTTCTATCCCCTTCCGCCTCCCCTCCTACTTATTTCCCTGGTGGCGCTCTGATGCTTGTTTGGTGCAGGATCAGAAGGAGGCTGTGATGGTTAAGGCGCTGGAGAACAACATGGGCGACGTCGACATGGTGTCTGCTGAAAGTACAGTCTCGGTTTGCTTGATTATTTCGAGCCGAATGGAGGGGATTAGCCAGTTTGCTTATTTGTCTGTAGACCTGCGTAATTTGCACGAGAATTTGGTTACTAGTGATTCGGGAGCATTGCCCATTTGCTCTAGATGTGTTGCATTCCCTTGATCGTAGTGTTTTTGCATTGCGTTGCCACATGGTCGTGAGGTCGTCCATTTAAGTTATATATGGAATTTGTTGTCGAGTCATGTGTTGTGCGTTTCTTTTAGGTTCAGTTGAACCATTCATGGTAATCGTAACATTGGTGATGTTGCTGATGCTCGCTTTGATGTTGTCTGTAATGTTCATCTCGACTTTTTAAGCTCTGATTACTGATTACACTGGTATGATAAAATGGTGGTCGAAGCATAACTTAGAGTGTTACCTTGTTGTAAAATGATTCTATTTGTTGTCAGTCTACTAGTGGCATAAATTAATGGTACACTTAGGTTGAACAGTTAGTTACCAGTTAAATTTGGTGTTGCAGATAGGATGCTAAGGCTCAGGGTGACACATTATGTTTCCTAGGTTTGCTTGGTGTTGAAATGTCTGTTTCTTGGTTGCATTCTATTTTATCATGATGAAATATGTTTCAAAACGATATTGATTTATCCAACTTCTTGAATTCTGCTCGGTATGCTTCAGTATGAAGATGTCTGAATTAGTGGTGGAGTGCCACAAAAAAAAAGAACTAGTGATGAATTGATGGTACCCATCTATATTTATACTAATTGAATTTACGCTGGTGCCCAGATGGTAGTGATAAAGTTCATATGTAATTATGTAGTGTCATTTACCTCGCTTCTTTACAGCTTCAATGGCATCGTCTACTTTATTCTGATTCCTAGGTTCCTTTTCTCTGCTAAAGATTTTATTCTTCATTTGCGAAGAAAGACTCTTATTTTGCTCTTGATAGATTTTTCTGATGGTAGGGCTGCATAACCTTCTTGTAAGTTCCGACTAGTTTAGTCCAGCTAGCTAGTTTGCCTAGTGATAACTGTACTTACTCCAAGAAGAAACAAGAATCAGTGTCATAACTCTATATTGTTGAATGCTGTAGTTACCAAGCCATGGTAACCATTTGAGAAGTGGCATTTATGCTTGGTACCCATTGAGGTAGTTTAAACAAAAACAGTCATGTTTAGAAAATTGCCATACCAAACTAAGGCCATGGCATTGCCGTGGATTATCATGAGATAAAAAAAATAGTAAATAAAGCATCCAGTATTGCTATTCCTGTATTAGTATTTCATTTACATGTGTAGTTGTGTTTCTAGTATATTATGATAAATTATCGTAAAAGCAAAAAACAGTGTACATTTTGAAAAAGTAGCTAGGACAGGACTATCTATATGTGCCACTCGTGCCCCTTATTATTTTGTATTGTCCTTGATTTTGCAACATAATGATGTACTCCCTCCGTCCCAAGAGCGTTTTTCACACTAGCGTAGTGTGAAAAACGCTCTTATATTATGGGACGGAGGGAGTATTTGTTTTGCACTGGGACGCGTTCATGACCAACCATGAGTGCCGATGGACCTAATTCTCTCTGCTGCTTATGGAGGGAACTATGTTGTCTTCCATTTATTTATTTCTGGTTAAATGTTTCAGTGTGTTGTTTGATGTCGTTTCTGCATATATTTGTTGCCATCACTTATTTGTGTGTGCCCGTGCGTGTCGCTCATCATTGCAGTGCTATTGCTTATCTTTGTACTTTAACATACAGCATCTTCGGAAACTGCAAAGGACAAGTCTCAGATGAAGTTTAATGTGAAGAAAAACTCAAGAATACAGATCAAAAGATTGAAAGGCAAAGGTTAGTTATTCTGATATTCAAGTAACATGATACATCAAACACTGATATGTTGCTCCAATTTTCTATCTTTGAATTGACTGAGAAGTTTACTCCTATTCTGCGTTTGTCTGGTTGAAAGATTCACTCGAGCTTCATTCCACAGGTAGAAAGAAAGCCAAAAATGTGAAGCCGCCAACGAAGGAAAAAGCTGATGCCATGGTAGAGTGACTGTTAAGAGTGAAGCAGTATCGTAATATGAAAGTTTATGGGGCACAAGCAAGGGCTAGCGGTACTAGAGCTTGTGCATTAACTTGTATGGAATTCAGACATCTTTTGAAGTAGATTTATGCACGGTTTTCTTCCTGATACCATTTTGTCAAGATCTTGTTTTGGTTTGGTTTGAATTGGGCTCAGCTAAATTGCCCGCCTCGTTGTGTCTGCTGTGGCTCGTCGGATCCAACTGAATTGGAGATCACTGTTGCATACTCTACTCTATATTTCAGATATGGCTACTACGATGACTGCAAGCCGCTAACGGAATCGAAGTCTTATTTTACTCAACGCCGTAACTTAGGCACACAAGTTAAGGGCATCTCCAACACACGTCTGGAGGTTTGTGGGTGTCCGGACCTATGCCACGTAGGACTTCGACATCCTCAGCCAACTGAAATCCCTTACCGGGCCTTTCCTTTGCTTTGCATCCACACCCTCTTTGTTCGATGTCGTCATTTTACCTCTTTGGCTGCCAGCCTAGGCTTGTTGGACTTCTGCAGCCCTCACCTACGCGCTTGCCTGCCTTGGACTACGCTGTCGTCCACATAGGATCCGTAACTTGAGCCTCTCTAAACCAAGAATTGAAGACTTTGTGCTCATGCTCTAAAGGATTGAGACTAGATTAAGTTGTCGTGCCACCTTGTTGTTCTATGGTGACAAATTAACTAAATTAGTCTTCTTTGGTATGCCATTTTTTTTATGTGCATCCTCTCTGTGGTCCATCTGATCAACAAATACTTGACACATTGCTTCTGAAGAAAGTATGGATCGGAAGAGAAAGAAGCTGACTCTGATTTCTTGGGATAAAGCTTGTTTGCCTAAATCCCATGGAGGACTTGGTATTTTAGATATCATCATTCACAATCAAGCTCTTCTGATGAAATATTTGCACAAGTTCTTCAACGGAGTGGACACCTCTTGGGTCAACATTATCCAGAAAACCTACTATCCAAATTGTCTTCCTAGTAACAAAGCTTTGGGTTCCTTTTGGTGGAAAGTTGTTCTCAAACTGTTGCCTGTCTACAAAGAGCATGGTATCTGTGCACCTACTTGTGGCGACTCCACTCTTTTTTGGACTGATAATGGCTTGACCAAAGGCTTCAGGATGCATACCTTATCTTCACTCCTTTTGCAATAACATTGAGATTTCTCTTCAGCAGTTTTGGCTTTGGAAAACCTGGAAGACTTGTTTCATAGGCCTATGTCACTCAAGTTCACTGGCAATTCATTCTTCTCCGCTACCGTTCACGGCAGAACTCAACGAGATGGCGATGGCATGGATAAGGGTAAATCCAATGCGCGACCTCATTTGGTCAGACCATGTCCGTTTGGGTTGAAACAGACAGAAGCATGGCCCAATGCGCGGATGCAAATGGACGGGCGTCTATTTTTCATTTGTCTACGACACATTTCAGGCCCAAATTTGGGTACGGTTTGCGTCGAAACGGATAGGCTGCGGAGTGCGGGACACCAGACCTTGTCCTCCCCTTGGCCCGCCCGTCAGGGGCACTTCCTCCCCATTTTCCCATTCCCTCCCAAAAACCATCCCTCCCTTTCGCCACCCGCCATCGCCCTGCCACCGACGCCATCTCGGCCGCCACTGTCGCCTGCCCCGTGTGCCTGAAGAAGAAGAAGAAGAATAAGAAGAAGCCCAAGAAGGTGCTCATGCCGAAGGAGCTTTCCCAAGAATCAACGAAGAGGGTCGGCCGAAGGGCCAGAGATGCGGAGAGGAAGGTCGCTGCCATGCTATAGAAGGCCTCCGCCCAGGAGAACGAGGCCATCGTCACCAAGGCCATGCGGCATGCCCTCCTCCTCCTAGGGTTCAGTCACCCCACACCGACCATTCTTACCCCACCGCCATGGCCGCAATGAGCACCGGCTCGTCGGATGTTCGCTCTCCACAAGTAGAGTCGCCGCGAGCATCCATGCGAAGAAGCTCGAGATGGAAGAGGCCATCCAAACGAAGAAGCTCGAGATTGAAGCGACCAAAGCAGAAGAGGTGGTGCTCGCTTTCATGGCGAAGGAGATGGAGATCATGAAGGTGGACTTGAGCAAGGTGTCCCCGAGGAGAAGGCCATGGTTCGAGAAGAAGCAAAAAGAATTGTTCGAGCTTGATGATTGAGCTATGGTCGAGAGCGCCATCATTTTGCATGTCGGCTTGTGTGCCAGCCTGAACTAGGGCCCGCGAATGGTCGTTTTTTGAGCACCGGCAAGTGCCGACATGAACTCGGGGCATTTTTTTTGTAGGCTCGCACTCTAGCCGACATGAACTATGGGTGCTGGCATGACTATAGCCGCGGGTCCTAATTTTATTTTTTATTTTTGTAGCAATGATTCTGGCGGATGGACGAAATGCATCAGCCGATTGGGCACAACAGCCACATTTGGACAAGCTCGGCAGGACAACGCGCCCACAGTTGACCCAAAGAAGCCGGACAAAACAGACATTCGTTTGTGGTTACGCGTTGGAGTTGGCCTAAGTGGACCTACCCCTAGAATTCTAGTGTTTATTCTTCTACGAAGATGTATAAAATCATGATTGGTCTTAGAACTTTGGAAGTGTTCTTCTTGGCTGATGCATAGATCTTCTGGATCTTCTGGCTTCAAGAACCTTCTGAAAAGAAAAACCCGATATGGAGTTTCTAAGCCTGAGCTTAAATGGATGAACAGTAAAACTCAAAGGTACAGACATTGACAAAAGTATCACGTGCTCACAAACTTTCATCTTGAAATCACATTTTTGAAAGTCGTGGCAAAAAGAAACAAAATTGATGTTCCAAAATGTTATTTTCGAAAGCATTTTGGAGTGCTGATTTTTTCACGACTTCTAAAAATGTCTTTTCAACATGAAATTCTGCAAGCATGTAAAACTTTTGTCAATGTTTGTGCAAAAAAAATCAGTTTTTTTAAATTTGTTTTCTTTTTTATCATGTTACTGTTTATCCCAAGCTCATTTGAGCTCAGGAGCAGAGGATGACTTTTGAAGGGAAACCATGTTTCTTACAACTATAATTGTGTTCTGTGTAATGAGCACATGAAGAAAATCATTTTGCACCTCTTTTGGGACCGTCCATTAGCTGACAGATGCTGGAGTCACATTATTTGATGCGGAGCATCCCAAGATCATCCCCATGGACGCACCTACACCTCCTACGACACCACTTGGACCAATGACACGAGCCCGAGCCAAGGCTATCGAAGATAGGTGAACTCACTCCTCTCCGAACTTCCACTTTCTATGCATGAGACATGGCTACTACCTAAGTCCAAGGTGTTGTGCATGATTAGGCACCAAGAGGGGCCTCCCGAAGATGCGCATGAAGATGTACAAGTCCCCAAGTCCACGGATGAGGAGAACCAACGGAAGGAGCCAAGAACATCTTCCAGGCCCCGGACATCCGGCCCCTGGAGCGTCATCCACTACAGCAGCACAACCGCCAGAAACTACAGGCTCCGTACATCCGGCCGCGATAACCTGGACATCCGGCCTCTCCCGAGCCCCCAGACATCCGGCCACCAGCCCGGAAATTCGGCCCCTCCGAACCCGAGAGCAACAAATGCTACCACTCCAGCCCGGACATCCGGCCTCCCCTGTCTGCGCATAATGAAGGGCCAAGACCCGTGTATCCCTTCTACCCCCTAGACTATATATACTCCACCTCGCCCAACTTTCTAGGGTTAGCAAAGGTTTAGCTCATGTTTGTGTGAGAGCTTTGCTCATCCACTTGGTTACCTTCTCCACGGAGATTCGAGCCTCAACCGGAGAAGATCCCCCAAGCGGATTCAAGACCCCTGTTAGGGAAGAACTCAAGACCTCGTCACGGAGAAGACCGTTACCATTGTATCGTCCCTAGTTGATCGTGTATCGTGTATCATTCCATGTATTCGAGGATCTAGCACATGTGTGACTTTCTTGTGTTGGTTTAGTGTTTCTCTCATGTTTCTCCTCGTGTTTCCCCTCGTGTTCTTCGCGGGATCCACTCCTTTCGTGAAAGATCGGCCGATTAGGGTTCCACCCTACACCATCTTGGTATCATGAGCCACATTGATCACGATTTCGGAGCCTCCCCGTTGTGTTTCTAGCCTTGTTTTGTTGTTTTTCGTCCTAATTCGAAAATTCCCCACAAGCCCCAATTTTTTTTGTGATTTGTTGGTGTGTTGAGATTTTGTTGGTTTGGATCCGTGGATTTGCTTTGTTTTGAGTGGATCTAGTTTCCCATCCATTTTTCCCCAATTTCCATCCACAAATTCCTCCGAATTTCGCCCGGATTTGACCTCTCCACACGGTGTTCATCCCATTCGTCCCCGGATCCAGAGCCCAGACATCCGGCTCGTCAAGCCCGGACATCCGGCCTTCCACCTGGACATCCGACCCCTGGCAGCAACATCTCCATCCACCACCCCGTTTTCCGTCCATTTTTCACCAAATTTTGTTCCGGTGCCCACCAAATACCACATATACTTCTGCATACCTCCACCACTTCAGCATAGCCCAACCATTTTGGACCGTTTTGCTCTCCGACACATTTTCTACTTCGAGGTTTGAGAATTTGAGTTGCGGTACCGTATCCTTTTGTGTTTCGGCTATCTAGGTACGGTTCGACATCGACACCACCGCCGCTCATCTTCGCCACGGATACGTCCTACATCATCACCGCCGTCCTACATCGCCATCAACAACGACCACCTCAACTACACCTTGGTATTCGTGCCACCATTTTGACACCATACCGGAAGCAAGACCGGTAACCTCATCTTGGTATTGGACATATCACTCTTGCCATTACATTGATAGCCATTATAGCCTTACTCCTTTGCGTTGCTTACCCATCGAGACTAGCCATTGAGTATTGCCGGCAACGAGACTTGTGCACATTAGTGATCATACTTCTCATAGCATCCATATATCATTGTTGCATATATTGGTATCATCTCTTGTGTCACAAAGTTGTCAT